GCAGCGCACTGACCTCCCGCTCCAGTGCCGCGCGCAGCCGCGCGTTCTCCTTGGCCAGGCCCTGCTGCTGCGCCCCCGCTGCAGCTGCCTGGCCCTCGCTCCTCTGCAGCAGCGCCCGCAGCTCATCCTTGTGCGTCTGGGGCAGAGGGAGGGGACTGTGAGAGAGGTGGGAGCAGCAGAGCACCACCGGGACACAACACCAGGACGCCAGGCACCCACCTGCAGCTCCGCCTGCATGAGCCGGATCTCCTGGTTTTCCTTGGCCAGCTTGTCCAGGAGTTGGCTCATGGACTGCATGCTCTGGGGGTCCCCAGCATCTGGCAGAGGCGGCTTCTGCTGTGAGTCCTGGGGGACAGGAAGTTTGGGAGGCCTGGGGGCGCTTGGGACGTCCCCTGCCCTGACTCAGTCCTGCTCAGGACCCCTCCTTACATTGCTGTCAGTGGACAGCAGTGACTCCTGCTCTCCAGCAGCCAAGTCCCAGCTCCCCACGCTTTCCACAGGGCCTGTGGAGGAGGATGTGGGTCCGAGTGTCCAGGCTGCTGTGGGATGTCCCCCTGCCCAGGTGGGACAGTCCCACATACTCACCGTCCACTGGGTCGTAGATGCCACCTGGGGAGAGAAGGGGACAACGAGGGGGATGTCTGGACCCCACACTGTCCCTCAGTGGGCCTCAGCCACCAGGATCCCCACTCACCAGTGATGATCAGCACCCCCACAGCCACCAGTGCCAAGATGCCCAGCAGGTACTTGCTCATGCTGAGCCCATCCTCGTCACCAGTGTCCGGTGTCCTCCGGTGCGGGGCGCGCGTGGCAGTAGGGGGTCCAGGACGGGGCTTGTGGCCCTGCCGCCGCCGCAGCCCCTCTGTGTCATTGTCACTGCTGGTGCAGCTCCCATCCTCTGTCTGTGGCCCTGATGGGGGATGGGGAGACCTCCAGGGAGGGTCTGCCTCTGAGCACTGCCCTGCGAGGTCCTGACCCGCTCTAGGGATGCCAGGGCAGGACTGTGGCTCAGCCTCAGCATCAGGCTCCTCCTGCTCATCACCCTCAGTCACACTGGGCTCCGTGGAGCCATCTGGGGCAGGCACTGCCCATGCCCCGGGCTCCGTGCACTCCTCTGGGTCCTGCAGGCACAGGTGCTGGTGTGTGGGGTGTCCCCGCGGGGGGAGCAGCCCCCCAGGCCCCCCGTCCTGGCTCACACTCTGCCCGCTGACCTCGGGGGGCAGGGTCTGGCCAGGGAAGGTGGTGGCACCATTGGTGGTCATGGCTGGGGAGAGATAGAGCATGGGGGTGAGACGGTGGCACAGGGGGTGACACCAGGCCTGCCCCATCCCCATGGTGTCTGCCTGCCTGTGGCTGTGTCCTGGGTGCCTTCATCCTCCCCCTCCTCCTGCAGTTCCTCATCCTCAGTCCTGTGGGAATCCTGCTCTGGACCCACTGTGTCGATGGGCAGACCCTGGGGGAAGGGGGGAGACGCAGGGTGACACCTTCAGCCGCAACTTCTGTGTGCCCCACTCTGCCCACAGCCCTGGGCAGGCTGTGACAGTCCAGGCTGTCACAGGTGGGGTGCTGTCCCAGGGGATCCCAAGCATCCGGGGCTGCCCTGGGGTCTCCAGTCCCGAGGGTCTGCCCCGGGATTCCCAGCCCTAGGGCGCTGCCCCAGGCGTCCCCAGGCATGGGGCTGCCAGGGACGTTGCCCTGGAGATCCCTAGCAGCGGGGTCGGCCCCGGGAGTCCCCAGCCCTCACCTCGCTGCCCGCCAGCACCCAGCTGCTCTCTGAGTCTCGGGAGTCCGATTTCTCCGTCATGAGGACAGCCCGGAGCCACCTGCAAGGGCATAGATGGACAGCGGGACGTGACCCGGCTGCTCTCAGTACCCCCGGGATGTGACCGGGAGAGCCGCGGTCTTGGTGCAAGCCACAGTCCCCCAGGCGATGCCTGTGGCCGGGGACCCTCCGGAGCTTTCAGGGAGCCATCCCGGAGCACGGGCCCCGCCGCGCCACCCCCCCCGACCCCAGCGGCCGCCGCGGGGTATTTTTAGTCGGTGACGCCGCCCGGCAGGTGCACGGGGGACGCGGGGCCCGGCGTGGGGACATGAGGGACGCGGGGCCCGGCGTGGGGACACGGGGGAACGCGGGGCCCGGCGTGGGGACACCGGGGGCCCCGCTCGAGATCCCACCACCCCAAAGCAAAGCAGCGGCACCGGGAGGGGGATCTCGAGCAGCCCCCGCCCTTCCCCGTCCGCCCCAGCCTCTCGGAACCCAGAAGCGGCCCGGGGGTGGGGGAGACGGCGCTGCCGGTGACATCCCCCCTCGGCTTCGCCCCACGCGGCCCCGGCCGGGCCGATCCCGCCCGCGCCCCCCGGCCCCGATACCTGCGCCCGCCGCGTCCCGCCGGGAACTTTCCCCGGGGCCGCCACCGCCCCCGGGAACGGGGCGCACACGTGACGGGAGCGGCCAATGGAGCACGCGGGGGGCGGGACGGGCGCGCGGCCCCGCCGGGACCGGGCAATATCCCCACCGCCCCACCGCCCCCCCCCCCTCGGACAGACACCGACCCCCCTGAACCCCGACGGTACCGGACAGACATAGACACCCCTGAACACCCCCGGTACCAGACAGACACCGACCCCCCTGAACCCCCCCGGTACCGGAAGGACACCGACCCCCTCCCCCGGACACTCCCCTCGGACAGACAGCGACACGCGCGTTTCACAGTTTTATAGCGACGGTACAAAAATTTCCATTTAACGATTGGCTATAGCGGAGAGAACCTGGGGGGGGGCGGGGGGAGAGGGCGAGCGGGTACTAGGATCACTGGGGGTGGGCAAAGGAGCAGGAAGCACCGGGACTGCCCCGTGAATGCACACGGGGCACCGGGACTGCGGCACATCCGCGGGAGGAGCCCCTTGAGAGGGCACTGACCGAACTGGGCAGTGCTAAGGGGCACTGGGAAGCCTCAGCCCTCCCAGGGCCGGTGCACCAGGGCCAGAGCCCTCCCCACACCAAGGGCTGGCAATGGCACAGCCAGATCCATCCCGGGTCCCCTGGGCACTCTCCCCTGGTGGCTCCCAGTGGCTGGTAGTGCCCAGGGGAGCAGCCACAGCTGGCAGGGGGAGGGGGTGACAGCTACAAAAAACGGGGGTTTGGTCCTAAGTTGGCGTGAGGAGCTGTACACAGCGTCAGGAGGGCAGCTCAGCCGTCGTTGGCGGCCACCAGTTGTCCCATGCCCTCCCGGATGTAGACAGACTGGATCTCCTTGGTCTTGAGGCAGAAGTCGCAGGCCCAGACGGCCGAAGCCTCGGTGGTGAGCAGCCCGTAGGCGTTCTCTGTCATGCCCGTGCACTCTCGGTGGAACCACTTCTGGCAGGAGGCCTCGCACAGGATGGCGTCCTGGTCATCGTTGACCTCATTGCGGCAGGCCCCGCATGGGTACACAAGCCCCGGGGGTGGCTGGTGGCTGGAGGTGGCTCCAGGGGCCTTCCCAGGGGGCGGCAGCGGGAGGCTGTTGGTGTCGGGGGTGCCGGTGCCACGGGTGGCGCTGCCGGGGGCAAAGCCGGGCTGTGCCCCGTTGACGGCGGCGGGAGAGCCCGAGTGCTGCTCCGGGGCGAAGGTGCTGGGCGGGGGATTCTTGCCGCCTCCCTCCTCGCCGCCTGTGGGGAAGGTGGGGTCGGCCCCGGGAAAGGGGCTGGCGGTGGGTGGCAGGGGGGGCATGTTCTGCCCGGGGCGCTGCAGGGGCGACTGTCCAAAGAGGTTGCCGGGCTGGCTGAAGCGCTGAGCCACCGCCGGGCCCCCTCCGGGGGGGTTAAGGGCCGGCCCGGGGCCCATGTCCCCCCCACCCCGCGGGGGCTGCCCCATGGTGGGGGAGATCATGGGCCCAAAGCCCGCGACGGGGCCCTGCATGAGCTGCCCCATGGGGGGGCTGAAGTTCTGTCCGAGGGGTTGGCTGAAGGGCTGCCCGGCGAAGCCTAGGCCCCCGCCCTGCACGTAGTTGGGGTTCTGGGGGGCCATGCTGAAGGCCGGGCCCATCTGCCCGGGGGCGAAGGGCGGGGGCTGCCTCCGCAAGGGTTGCGGCCCCCCGCCGTAGCCGGGGGGCACCTGCGGCGACATCCCCCCGCCCTGCACGCGGAACCCGCCGAACGGGACGGGGCTGCCCAGGAACGAGGCGGGCGCCGCCCCCACCTTGGGGGCTCCGAAGTCATCCTCGAAGGGGTTGGAGGCCACCAGGTGGTCCACCATGGGGGTGGGCGGCGGTGCGAACTCCGAGAGGTGCGAGTAGGCGGGGCCCTGCGGGGAGAAGGCGGCGGTCAGGGTTTTGCTGGGGACTCCTCCCCGGGACCCCCAGGCCCGGCCCTTACCTGCGTGTTGGACTTGCGGCGCTTCTTCTCGGGGCTCTTCATCTGCAGCCCTGCGGGGATAAGCGGGGCCGCGTCAGCGGCGGCTGGGGGGGCCCCTCCCTTCCACCCACCCCGGCCCCGGCACTCACCTGCCTTCCCCTGCTTGCGGCCGGGCCCACCGGCGGCGGCGCTGCCCGCGGGGTGCGGGGGCCCTGGCGGGGGCGGCGGGGCCGGGACGGCTCCCTCCAACTTCTCTGCGTGCGGGGCCGCCATGGCCCCTCAGGGCGCGCGCGCCGCCGCCGCCGCCATGGCCCCGCCGGAACCGGAACCGGGCCCGTGACCGGGGCCCGCGCGGGACCAATCGCGGCCCGCGGGGGGCGGGGCAGAGCGAGCGGGACCAATCACCGTTCGTGGAGGGCGGGGCCGAGCGCGCGGAGCCAATCGTAGGACGTGCGAGACGCGTCAATCAACCGCGTACCCCGCCCCTCCCCCACATCCCCGCTCGGACCAAACCAAGTGAAGCGCGAAGGGGGAGGGCAGGGAAACACACGGTCCGAACCATTTACAAGGGCCGGAGGGGGAGGAAAAGGCGAAAGGACCCTCTGTAGAGCCCGTGGGGGACCCCCCGCCCACGGTGATCCCCTCCCCCAGCTCACACCAGCCAGGGCCTAGAGAAAAACCAACTTTAATATACAACCACCAGTTCCTTTGGTATAGTGGGGCCAGGGGGCCCCGGACTGCGAGGAGGGCAGGGCCGTGCTTTGGCTTGGAGGGGAGTTAGGCTGTGCATGCAGGGGGGTCCTCCCGCCACCCCTCCGAGGCTGCCAGAGCCGCCCGTGCAGGGAGGGGATGTCGTGGCACAAGTCCTGGAGCATGAGCACGGCACGGAGGGGGGATGGGAGCGGGGGGAGTGGGGGGGACTCTGTCCCCAGCCCCTGCCCTTGCATAAGTGTGTGGGACCTGCGGGGTCAAGGCACAGAGTTAACACGTAAAGTGATCCGGTACAGTCGCTGTGGGGCCAGCTGGGCCTCGTGCTTGGGGGAGTCGAGCCCCCCATGGGCCCCCTTCCTTGGCCCAGGGGCCAGAGACAAGGCCAGGCTGCCTCCAGCTCAGGGGGGCTCAGACCTGCCAGACCCAAGCCCGTGCTGGAGAGCACCAGAGTGGCCATGGCACAGCAGCAGGGCTGGGTTTTGGTGGGAGCTGAGCTGCTGTGCAAAGGGGCTGTGGAGGGGCAGGGGCTGTGCAACAGCAGCCCCCATCCCACAGGCGCTCACAGCCTGAGCCCCCCCCCATGGCCACCAGTCTCACGGGGTGAAGGGAGACAGGCCCTGTCCTCAGCCAAGTCCATGCTCAGTCCCGGGCAGAGCACCCAGCAGTCTGAGGGCTCCCTGGGGCAGGGAACAGGGCCAGAGGGCTGTGCACTGGGGGGGGCTGCGCACGGGGCCCACCGGGCGCTCACAGTCTCTTCTCCACCGGCTGCTGCAAGCACATCTCACTGCCAGCTGAGATGATGGGCAGGTGATTGTCCATGTGGTAGCTGATGAGGTGGCTGACGCTCTCGAAGCGATGGTCCTTTGTCCGCACCTGGGGCACCAGGAAAGGGGTTCTCAGGAGGCTGTCGGAGCCCACGGCGGGGCTAAAGCCACCGCCCTCCATGGCACAGGCTGGGCACAGACTGCATATCACCCCCACGCTCCATCAGGCCCTCTCCATCCCCCAAGCCAGCTGAGAATTGTCCCCTGATGAGTGGTGCAGAACCCCAATGCCCTGGTGTCTTTTAATGCCCCCCAGCTGTCCCGAGCTCCATCCCGGGCCCCAACATGCACTCACCACTCCCTCAGGATCGACAAGCAGCAGATGCTTGGGCTGCCCACCCTGCAGGCCAGTCAACACGTACTGGCCCGGTGTGGTGGTGCTCTCCCGCACCAGGAAGTCTCCGTTCACCTTCAGCAGCTTCTCGGCCTCTTTGCGGTTCATCTTCCCGTGGTACCAGGGCTCTCTTCTCAGCTGCTCCTCCATGGAGGCCACCACCTGGGCAGGGGGCAGCCCCATGGGCACGGACGGGGGTACACGCAGGGCATCTTCAAAGGGCTCTGAAGGGACAGAGGAGCAGGGGGACCATGACCAAGCCCGCAGCCACCCACCCCTGCCCTGGCCACAGCTGTCATCCCACTCACTCATGTCGAAGAGGTCCCTCTGTGTGCTGCCATTGGCTGTGGTTGTGGTGCCCGTGGCTGGGGCCTGGCGTGTCTTGTCCACGTTCTGCACGTTGACATAGGATGGGTCATCAAACAGGTCCACGCGGCCAGATGTGCCCGCTGGAGCTGGGTATTTCTCTCTCCCTGCTAACCAAGAGCACTGGGGTCGGTAGGTTTCCAGCCCACCTCAGCCCTCAGCTCGGGGCCCAGGGAAGAAGACTGGGACCAGGTACACCTGTCACGTTACCTTGGGCAGGAGTGTGCTGCTTCTGGGGGTCATGCTCCCCACTGGACTGGCCCACAGGCTGCAGGGAGAGGCAGTGGTGAGCCCCCACTCCCCTTCTTGCTCCCTCCACTTCCCACTCCCCACACCCCGGGCTGCCAGAAACACTGGAGAGACATATCCCATGACTCTCATGGTGGGATAACCCCAAGCAGAACCAATAACCCAGTCAGGGTCCCTGCATCTCCCTTGTAAGATGGAGCTTTCCAAGGAGGACGTGCCCAGAGCCTCACCAGCGTGGCCCCCAAGTGATTTGGGGTCTGAGCGGCCCCATCCCGCAGCCGCATGTCCACAACCCCCCCAATGGGAGGCTCCTTGCCAGGGAAGTCATTGTAGTACTGGTGATCCGGGGCTGGTTCCTCCTCTTCTTCATCCCAGGCAGAGCCATCAAACCCTGCCATCCTGGGAAGGCACAGCACAGATAAGTCCACGACAGCAGCCAGGGCTGCATTCCCTCTCCAAAACCGATCTCAGACACCCTCCCACCTTTATCCTTCTCACACAACCCTGCCCTGACCTGTCGTGAGGGGTCACCAGCTTTGGGGGGTTCTTCAGGTACTGCTTGAAGCGCAGCTCGAAGGCCTGACCGATGGTGCTGATCACGTCCTGCGCCAAGCCCTCAGGACACTCCAGGATATGGCAGGCTAGGCAGAAAATGGTGGGATGGGATTGCAGAACTCCAGCAGTGAGGTTCTTCACCCCTGAGCCTGCCCCGTACACCCCAGAGCTTCCTTAAGGGTCACCGAGCACCTCCCCCTGCACTGAGCTGGGCCTAAACACCCCCAAAATGGGGCTCTGGCATTGAGGACCCTCACCTCTCTGATTGACGGGGTCTTTGGCAACATAGGCGACATACTCAGCTGTGTCCTGTGGGTGAGACACCAGCAGTGAGAAAGGGCTGCCAGGGAGCACAGGGCCCAAAACCTCAAGAAAGGGCAGGAGAGGCACCAGTCCCTAGCAGGGAGTAGGGATGGAGACTCTGCATACTCACCGGGTCTCCCCCAGATGCGAAGGATATGGACTGCATGTGGTGGTTGGCAATGATCTGCAAGGTGGAGAGGTCATTGGACACAGCCAGGAGCTCCTGGGCACCCAGCCATGGCTGGCATGTCCTGCTCCCCCCAGGGCTGGCCTGCCATGGGGGCTCACAAGCCTCTGAAATCCTGGTTATGAGCCACGGGCCTCCAGGAAAAGGACTGGGACATCACTAGGGCCACTGAGAGCAGGGTCAAAACCAGGAGACCTGGCCTCAGGCAGGAGAACGTGGGTCTCACAGTCTCCAGAAGAGATCTCACAAAGGACGTGGGATATTTCTCCCACCTCTTCAGCCCTGGGGCCTGAAGGGAGGTGGGCACTCAGCAAGTCACACAGCCTACCCAGAGATTCCTTTGGACATCCCCTGCTAGACCTGGGGTGGAGGACACGAGGATTCCTGCTAGTCCAAAACCAGCCCAGCCTCCACCCCTCCCCGCTCTCACCTGCTTGCAGTCTGAGGCCATGAGGTTGAGGCTGCTGGTGGAGATGGTCAGGGTGATGGGCATGCCAGCAAACTTCAGGTTGCTCTTGCCCAGGATGGAGTTCAGGGAGCGGCCACAGGGCTGGGGGCAAAGGGCAAGGTGGGAAGGGGCTCCTCAGGCCACACACAGCCCAGCAGGCACGTGAACAGGGCACATCCCACTACCCCTACAGCAGAGACGGGCACCTCATCCCCACCGCTGGCCCTGGCCCAAGCCACAGTGGGAGATCAGAGCCCTGGGCTGACAGCACAGCACAGCACAGCACAGCCAGCCAGGCTGGAATCTGATCCTCTGCTCCACGCCCAGCCAACCATGCACATTCCCCCAGCAGCTCCCCAGCCTGGCCTCACCTTCCTCCTTCTCACGGCTCCCTTGGCACTGGGCACAGCCTCACACACCAACCCAATGGCCTCTCTGCAGGGAGCACAGAGAGATGTCAGTCCCCCACTGCTTGGCCCCCCAAAGACCCCCCCAACCATGGGACTGAGGACACAGGAACCAGCACAGGAGTGACAGGGTGACAAAGTGGAAGACCCCCTGGCAGCGCCAGCTGGGGAAACCGCACTGGTGTTAGTGTTTGATGGGCTGCAGCAGCCTGGCCCCCACTGAAAGCCCCACATGCCAGCAGGGGCTTGCGTGGGACTCAGATAACCCCCCTCACCCCTCCCCAAAAGCAGCAGCCCCTGGGGAGAGGCAGAGCTCACCTGGTGACCTGTGTCCTGGTGTTGAAATCCAAAGCCCTCATGGACTGGAGCACTTCCACACAGCCCATGTACTGGGCAAGAGAGCAAGGTGAGTTTGGCCGGCCATGGGGTTCACCCCCCATGCTGCCAGGGAGGGGGCTGGGGCCCCAAGCACCCCAGCTCCGCAGTGGTGACCTCCCTGGGAATCACACTGCCCACTTGCCCCCATCCCACTGCCCTCCCCCCCCCCTCCCCCCCCAAGGAGCATGCCAGGAGGTCCCCAAATCCCCATGGTGACCCTTCCCACTCTGACCCAGTCTCCGGCACTCACCCGGACGTGGTAGGAGACCCCGGGGCCCATGACCTTGTCATCAGGGTGCAGCCAGCCACGGGTGGGTTTATTGACAAAGCTGCCGTGGCGGGTCCATTCGTCACCCCCCAGCTGGCCGCCTTCCACACGCGTCTTCTTCCCACAGCTCAGCTTGTTCATATCCTGGGAACAGACAGTGACAGGCCTTGCTGAGCCGGAGCTGGCAGCACCCCCTGGCACTGATGCCAGCAACCCAGGGGTCCCGGGTTCCCCTGGGATGCTGCCAGCTGAAGAGCCCCGCAAGCTGAGCAGGTTGGCAGGATTGGAGAGCTTCAGATTGGCCATTTTGGGGAAGAAGGAGCAGAGGGTGGTAGGGCTGTCCTCCGACTCAGGTAAGAGCTCCCCAAGAGGCGCCGCGGCACCAAGGGAGGAGGAGGAAGACAGGGAGCCAGGCAGAGACTGCGTGCTTGCAAGGGACTCCACAGGGGAGGACGGGTCCCCTGGGCCCCCCACGGCCTCCTCCAGAGAGGAGACAGACTCATTTCGCAGGTGGCTGTATTTGCTCTTTTGCAGGAGATCCATGGCGGAGAGAGGTGAGAAGGGCCAGGGCCGCCCTGTCCAGAGTGGCAGCGGGGTGGAGGCAGCCAGCTGGACCTCACAGGGGCCCCACGGAGAGTCTGAGTGCCTGCAGCCCCCGGGAAGCTGCCCCCAAGCAGAAGCCTCGGCTGAGCTCCACGCCAAGTCCACACCAGCCCGGCATGGCTGGCAGGGAGAGCAGGGCCCGGGGCGCTGGGCAGCGGGACCAGGGGCTGCCTGGCGCAGGCACAGCCTATCGATCGCGATCGGCGTCAGCGAGGACGAGCGGATCTGCTCAGCAGGGAGGAAACGGGGCCGCAGCAATGCCCCCGGGGAGCCGCTGGCACGGGAAGGGGAGTTCAGAACGCTCTGTCCCCAGCCTGCAGGTCCTCAAGCCCCTTGCCACTCCAGCACCAGGCCGGCAGCAAATCCCATTGTCTTCATGCAGGGGCCGGATCCAGCTCCCTCTGCCCTGCTCGGTCCGGCACAGCCGCCCTCTGCCCCGGCCGCTCACTCCGGCCCCTCAGCTACCCGCTTGCCGGCCCGCTAAGAGGAAATCAAAGGCATGAATATTTAAAGCCTGGAGACAAGGCTGCCACAGAGTACATCCAAGCCCAGCCCAGCCCCGCTCCGAGCACCATCCAGGAGGGAAGAAAAAGGTCCTTCTGTGGCGGCCAGCGCCACGCAAACCCACGTGCCGGCGGCGAGCAGCCGCCGTTGGCTCGCCGGGCTCTGCCAGGGGGGAGCAGCGATGCTGAGAGGACACCAGTGCTTGCAGCTGCCTGGAATGCTGGGGACATCCAGTCCTGAGAGAGCACGGATCTCGCCTAGAGGGCCGGCCAGGTGCAGAATACAGGTGGGCTGCGCCCCGGGCGAGGCAGCGTCTCAGCACGGACCCCCAGCCGTGGTGGGGAGCTGGAGGGAGAGGCTGCAGCTCATTGCTGCTGCTGCTGCTTCCCACATCCCGGCGGCTCCTCCCGGGAGAGGAGAAGAGAGGGCTGCGGCTGATTGGAAGGGCTGTGCTGACTCACGGGCAGCAGGGCAGGCTGTGCCCGCGGCGGGGGCTGCGCTGGGGCTGGGGCACAGCGCGGGAGGGGCTCCCGGCGAGGGGTGGGGACCCAGCGCCTATCTGGAGCAGAAAAATCAAGGTCACAGGCGGAGCTAGCAGGAGCATGCCAAGGGGCAAAAATTGGCCCCTTCAGCCACGGGGAGCCAGGCAGGGCTCCCACCTGTGGATCAGAGGGCTCAAGGGCAGGTCTTCCCTGTTCCCCCATCTTTGGGGTACTCGTGTGCAGCAGGAACTTGGGTCAGCCTGGCCGTGCTGTCCTCTACAGCCTTGGCCCCACCGAGGAATAAGAGCTCTTCCCCCTCCACCACCTGTGGGATGAGGTAGCGATTTCAGGCAGAACCAACCCCTGACACACCACTGGCCAGAGCCTTTCCAACCACTACGTGCTCTGTAAAACGGCCACCAAACTAAAACCGGGTAAATCCAGGCCAAGGGAAGGGCTCTCCTGGCTTTGGAGCCCTCGCCCAGCACTGCTCAGCACCGGCAGCTGCTCTGCCCCACTTCCCAAAGCCTGGCACACTGCCACAGGGACAGGGAAAAGCCAGGATGCAGCTGGAAATTGCCTCCTGCATGATGCAAGGGCCTATGGCTCCTGACAGTGGGCCTGTCACAGCAGCATTCCTGGGCCACGAACACCAACTCTGCAAATGCCGGCCCCCACCTCAGCCTGGGGGTCCCGTGGGCACAGGGAGCCCATGCCGGCCGTCCCACACAGTGCTCATCCCCACCAGGGGCCCCTGGCCGGCGCTGTGACCTTCCCGTGGCCAGCAGCGCCACTGCTCTAAAGAAAAGCAGGAAGCCTGGGGCCAGGGAGCCAGGAAGCCACCCGCCCAGTGAGGGGCCAGCACAGCCCCGGTGCCAGGGGAGCCCAGCTGGGTGGTGTCAAATGGCTGCGGGGGCAGCAGGGGCTGCCCACAAGGGGCTGGCCACTAGTGGGTATGGGGCTGGGGTCACCCAGCACAGCAGCTCCACAGGCCCTGACACTACTCCAGGGCCTGCCAGGATTAAGAGCAGAAGGGAACTGCCTGGGGGCAGGAGTGTCTCCTTGCCCCCTTCCAACCACCTCAGGGCCTGGAGCCACCATCCCTGCCAGGCAGCAAAGGGTTGATGAGCCCTACAGCCACAGCCCCTGCTCACAGACACACCTCTGCTTTTATAAGCTGGAGTAATTCCCAATTTTCTCAGGACCTTTGAGGCCAGCCTGCCCACATCACCTGTGGTGATGTGACAAGGTGCATTGCTGCTCCCAGCCCTTGGAGACCAGAAGTGCTGCCACCACAGTCCCTCAGCCCCAGAGCCCACCCCAGGGCATCAGAGCCCTCCCTCCCAGTGGGCTCCCAGTGCAGAAGGCAAACCTGGAGGCGTGTGGAGATACAGAAAACCTACCCCTGCCCAAGCAGGCAGCCCCAAGCCCCATCCCTTGCCAGGCAGGCAGCAGGAGTTCCTGCCCCTCCGGCAGAGCAGCTGGAACAACTGTCCCCAAGGAAGCTGCTCCGTGTGCCCTGCCACCACAAAAAGACATTGGACTGTGAGAAACAGAAGGACACGGGCTACTTTCAGGCACCTGGGACTGGGACTTCCAGCCAAGGGCAAGGAAAAGAAGCAGAGAGGGCCCCACTACCAACATCCTCCCAGGAAACACAAACTGGGAGCTGAGTCAGAGACCTGGAACATGCCAATGGTTTGGCAAGAAATCGCAGCAAGGAGCAGGCGGCCGCACGTACAAACCTCACCCCTGGGCAGGAGACCCCCCTCTGTCCAACCACAGCCAAACTCAAGCCTCCAAGGCAGGGAGGAAGCAAAGGAAAACTCTCAAATCCAGGCAACAGCTGATTTTTTTCCCCCCAAACATCACAGCTGCAGCACACTACATCTAACCTCTCCTTCGCTCTGAGGAGGGGTTGGGAGACGGCCAGTGGAGACCTGGGGAGGAGGCTGGGGCCCTCCCAGCAGGGAGAGAGGGCAGGCAGGATCCACCACCAAAGCCACCTAGTCCTCCACCAAAGTCCTTACCACGTACTCCATCGCTGGCAGAGGGCAGGGCAGGCCCCAGGCAGGGAGCAGAGACGCACAGCCCCTCTCGTCTGGCACTCCGACCTGCGGTTCAGGGACAAACAGGGAGTTAGCCAGCCCTGCCCCAGCCTGCCAATGCAGGGGCCTTGGCACCAGGAGGCAGACCCTGCTCCTCCATGCTGACTGCAGTCGGATGGGGCCGTGGCAGCTGTGACAACACGCTGCTGGTACACGAGACAAGAGAGCCAGGGAAGCTACCTGCTTCCCATCAGAGGGAAGACAGAGCTGGGATGCAGCAGGGCAGGAGCACAAGGCTAAGCCTGGCTCTGCTGAGGCCTTACCCACACTGGCAAACAGTGTCAGGGGCCGAGAGTCACTCCACGACCTGAGACAAGTGTTGGAGCCGATCCCTGCCCAGCCCAAAAACCAGCGCCCGAAAGCCACACGCAAGGAGGGAGAGCAGAGGCAGCCCAGGGGGGCAGAGCTGTCCCTCCCTCCATCCCTGATGCAGAATGACACACAGAGGGCTGTGCCCCTTCCTCCCAGCAGAGCAGCAAAAGAGGGACTCCTGGAAAGAGGCTACAAGGGGGGAGCTGGGAGAGGCAGCGAGGTCTGTGAGGGAAAAACAAGGAAAGCAAAGCAGCAGCTCCGGAGCTGCTGCTCTTCCTGCTCCCACCCCCACCACTCAGCTGAGGCTGGGACAGCCAAGCAGTCCAGGGCAGCAGAATGATTTACAGCCCAGCAGCAATCACACCCTTATCTGGAGCCCAGGCAGGCATTGTGGCCATTTGCTCTGGAGATAGTGAGATAAGAGGGCCCTGCCTGGCACTGGCTGTGGAGATCAACCCCTGCAGCACCACGTCACATTCCTCACTGCTGAGCAGAGGTGGTGACTGGGCCCTTGGGACACCAGCGGCCGAGGCTGGTGGCAGGGAAGGAGCGTCAGAGCCCTGAGCCAGGGTGCTCAGCCTTGCCAAAGGTCACTGGCAACCCTCCTGGGGAGGGGACACTGCTCTGAGCAGCTCCTGAGGTGGCCCATCCACAGCATTCTCCCACCAAAGGGTGGGTCCTCCTGCCCCACTTGGCTGGGAAGGGATGGCATCTTTGGCCCCTCTGCCCCAGGCCGAGCCCAGGGCGGCCCCAGGAAGCACTGCCAAGAGCTGCCCTTTGGCCAGCGGCTTCTGCCACACCAACGTGATGAGTAGGGCCCTGGTGATGCTTCCTCAGAACCCACGTCTGGGGTCTACTCCGTGTGGGTGGCCCCATCCAAGGATTTCAAATGGAGAGGCAGGGACAGCCTACAACAGATGGACACAACACAGCGCTGGGGAGCAGACAAAGGCCTACAAAGGGGGACAGCCACCCCTGCCCACAACAGCCCGGTCTGCTCAGGGAAGTCACCCCTGCCTTGGTCTGAGGCACAGAAGGCAGGGCGGCCAAGGAACCCTCCAAACGCAGCCGTTGCCCCCGTCCCGGAGGTCCTGCCGGTCCAGGGCTCGGGGGTCTCCCCAGGTCCCGCAGCGCCCCTGGAGCCGCGTCCCTGCCGTGTCCTGCACCAGCACGGCACAGGGCGATGCAAGCCCGAGCCCCGGGCACACACGGCAGCCGCCACGCCGGGTGGGTCACTCCGGGACCGTCCCGGGAGCGCGGCACAGCCCGGCATCGGCACCGCCACCTCCAGCCCCGGCCGGGCCTCGTACAGGAAGGTCGGGGCCTGCCCCGGGCTCGGCTCCCCCGCGCCGGGAACACGAGGCAGCTGGGAAAGGAAGGGCGGCACTGGGAACGGCGGCACCTCGGGAGGGTGGCGGTAAAAGGGCGGCGGCGGCGAGCGGTGCGGAGTCAAGTCCCGAACGGGCACCGCAGAGCCCTAGGCCTGTGGCGGCCTCGGGCCGCGGGGCCGCTTGCGCGGGGGGGACCCCTCCACCCCCGCCCCGCCCCGGCCGGCGCACGCTCACCGGGCACCATCGGCCTCGCGCGGGTCTCGCGCCGCCGCTCCCCCGCCGGTGCCGCTCCTGCGCGCGCCCCCCCCACCCTGTGCGCGCCCCCGCCGCCACTCACTTCCGGCCCACGCGCGCCGCGCCCCCGTCGGTCACGTGACCTTACCCAAGCCAATCGCGGGGCCGCGCGCCGGCCCGCGGGAAGTGCCGCGCAAGCACGGGCCAATGGACTCGCGCCCCGCCCCTCCGCTGGGCGGTGCCGGCCAATGGGAGCGCGGGGCGGCGGCGTTTGAAAAGCGCCCCAGGAAAAGGGGCGGGGGAGCAACCAACGGCCGCTGGGGGGGCGAGGGGGGGGGGCACGGAGGGCCCGTCATGGCGCACAAACAGATCTACTACTCCGACAAGTACGACGACGAGGAGTTCGAGTACCGGTATGGGAAGGGCCTCCCCGGAGAGCGGGGGGACCCGGTAACGGGTGGTTGGTAAGGAGGGAGGGAGCTCGGTTACGGTTCCCCGCGGGGACGGGTGAGGGGAGGATGTCCCAGTAACGGTGCACGGTGGGGGGAGAGGCCGTTAAAGGCTCGCTGGTGGAAGGGGGGTGGTGGGCGAGGTGCGGCTGCCCTGTGGAGCAAGAGGGGAGTTATCGCGGTAACGGAGGAGGCCCGCTGAGGGCTCTGTGTCGGGTCACGGAGTCGGTCCCGTTAACGGTTCCCCGAGGGGAGGAACCTCATCCTGGGAATTAGAGGCTGTGGGGGTGACCGGGTCAGGGTCCCTGGGGAGTGCGGGGGTGTGGCGACCCGGGGGCGCCCCAGTGTTCACCGGAGGTCGCGGGGGGGCCGCAGGCACGTGATGCTGCCCAAGGACATCGCCAAGCTGGTGCCCAAGACCCACCTGCTGTCGGAGTCGGAGTGGCGGAACCTGGGGGTGCAGCAGAGCCAGGGCTGGGTGCACTACATGATCCACGAGCCAGGTGAGCCCCGCGGGGGGGCGGGGAGCGCCCGGAGGGCCCGGCCTGACCGCCCCTCTCCCCCCGCAGAGCCCCACATCCTGCTCTTCCGACGGCCGCTGCCCAAGAAGCCGGAAAAGTGAGCGGTCCCCGCTCTGCCGGAGCTCCCAGCCCGTTCGAGCTGGGAAAGCACCTTCCTCCTCCTCCTCGGCGTTCCTGGGGGGCTTCACCCCCTGGCCCTTGGTGCCGCCTGGGCGCCGCCGTGGCGACTCGGCGCCGGGGATTTTTCCTGTTGCGAGGCCTCCGAAGCTTCAATAAAGTGATGTTTTTGGGAGCTCCTGTCTGTGGTTGGTGGTTAGGGGGGTCGAGGGGCTCCCGGGACCGCGGAGCCTCTTGGCCTGGGTTCCCGGGGATAGCAGAGAGTTTCCCGGGGGCTGGGGGAACTCCTGGTGTCCCCCGGGGAGAATCCCGGGGCCGTGAGGGTGGGGGCGCTCCCGATGCCCCCGCCCGCAGGGCGAGCCCATGGCCACGAGGGGGGACATCCCCATTTCCCCCCGGCGATGGTTCCGTCCCCGCGGTCCCGCCTCCCGGCCAATGGGCGCCGGCAAGGCCGCGTGACGGACGGGCGGACGGGCCGATGAGCGCGCGGGGAGGTGCCGCGGCCCGGGTGAGTGTCCGGGAGGGTCCATGTGGGGGGCGCTGCGGGGGGGGGCGCTGCGGGCAGCCGGGGCCCTGCGCGCCGCCGCTTTCCGCTCCATGGCGGTCGAGGGGCCAGCCCGGGGCTCCGCCAGCACCGCCGGCATCATCGTCATCGGCGACGAGATCCTCAAGGTGCGGCTTGGGGCAAGCCCGGGGAGTGGGGGGAGCAGGCCCGGGAGGGGGGGGGGGGGGGGGGGCGGGCCGGGCCGGGATCTGTGCACGGGGCTGGGGGGCCGTCACGGGTGTCTCCGTCCCCCCTCAGGGCCACACTCAGGACACCAACTCCTTCTTCATGTGCCGGCGGCTGCGCGCCATGGGCGTGAAGGTGGCCCGGATCTCGGTGGTGCCCGACGAGGTGGAGGCCATCGCTAGCGAGGTGGCCGCCTTCGCTGCCCGCTTCACCTTCGTGCTCACCTCGGGCGGCATCGGCCCCACGCACGACGACGTGACCTTCGAGGCCGTGGCCAAGGCCTTCGAGGAGAATGTCGTCCCCCACCCCGAGCTGGTGGCCCTGGTGCACAAGTTCTTCGGCAGGACAGAGGCGCAGTGCCCTGAGATGAAGCTGGCCCGGGTCCCCGAGTCCGCACGCCTCAACTATGGCACGGATGGCCGCGGCAGCGCCTTCGACTACCCGCTGGTCAGCGTGCGCAACGTGTACATCTTCCCGGGCATCCCGGCACTTATGGAACGTGCCCTGGACGGCCTCGCTCACCTGTTCCGCAGTGAGCGGACCCGATTCCACTCCCGCGCCGTCTATGTGGCGGCCGATGAGCTCCTCATCGTACCCGTGCTGGACCGGGCCCATGCTGCTTTCCAGGGCCGCGTCAGCCTGGGCTCCTACCCGGACTGGGCCAGCAACTACTACCGCGTGAAGCTGACGCTGGACTCTGAGTCGGAGCAGGACCTGGAGGAGGCGTATGGCTTCTTGATGAGGCAGCTGCCACCGGGTGTTGCTGTGCCACTGGTGACAGACTACGTTTCTCGGGCGGCTGCGGAAGTTTATAGCCTGGCAGAGTCAGGTACCTGTGCCTCTGCGCTTCTGTGCAGCCCAGGAGGGCTGGGGCAGTGGGAATGCTGGCCTGGGAGCGGAGCTTGCCTGTTGTGGTGTGCTGGGGGGTTCATTGGGGCGTGCTAGGGCTTTACTGGTTCTGCATTGTCCCACACAGGTGGGAGTGGGACCTGTAAGCCCAGTTAGGGCCAGCAGTGGCAGAGTCTGAGAGCACAGTGTGCAGTAACAGCAGCAGTGCTGCAGTTCCCCAGTGCCCTCATGATCCCTGTCCCATTGTGGCACAGACCTCTGGGTTGCACAAGCTCTCTGCTGCGGTGCCAGCAGTGGCTCCACTGTGTGTCGGGAAACAAGACATCCAAATGGTGAGGTGCCACAGGCTCTGGGGCCGTGCCGAGGCAGCGTGACCTGGGCAGGCACCAACTGTCCCATCCCAGCAGGCTCGGCCCTTGGGCAGAAGGTGGCAGCAGCCCTGCAAACCATTGAGGAGGCTTTGGACCAGTACAGCCTGGCCCAGCTCTGCGTGGGCTTCAACGGCGGCAAGGACTGCACGGCCCTGCTGCACCTTGTCCATGCTGCTGTCCAGAGGTACTTGCCCACGGGGCTTCAGCCTGGGGCAGGGCTGGGGGTGTCCCGCACACCCCAGCCGGGGCTCTGGGGCTCTCACTTGCCCCACTCTGGGGGAATGAGTGGATTCTTGGGGCCTGTCTGATGGGGACTGGACACTGCCCTACCTCTGGTTGCTGTGGGCCAGGGCCCAGCTGTGCTGGGTCTCTCCGCAGGCGGTTCCCGGTGAGGCAGGAGAGGCTGCAAGTGCTCTACATCCGCATTGTGTCCCCCTTCCCTGAAATGGAGCAGTTCATCCAGGCCACTGTCCAGAGGTAGGAGGCAGAGCAGGGTGGGCTGCCAGGCAGGGGGTGTGCAACATTGCCTGTAGACAGTTGCCCGCCCTGCCTGCGCAGGTACGATGTCCAGCTCTGCACCGTGGAGGGCTCCATCCGGGAGGCCCTGGCCCACCTAAAGGAGCAGCAGCCACAGCTGGAGGCCGTCCTGATGGGAACGCGGCGGACAGACCCCTACTCATGCACCCTGACCCCCATGTGCATGACAGACCCTGACTGGCCCCAGTACATGCGGGTGAACCCCTTGCTGGTACGTGTCCTCCACCTGCTTTGGGGCTGGGACTGTCTCCATGGGGCCTGGGAGAGGTAAAATGATGGGGTTGGGAGCTAGCACTGATCCAACCCTATCCTGGAGGGCTTCTCTCATGATTCCTGCTTTCCCCAGCGCATCTGCTGCCCCATGCCGTGGCTGCGGGTGCCTCTTGCTGCAGCCAGGCTGCCTGGTGCTGTCGGGCAGGGCTTATTCCTGCCTGCCAGGGTGTTTCCCTGTGTATGAGGAGGCACTGGGACAGAAAGAGGTGCTCTGGGGACCATCTGGCTCTCCTGGGTGCTCTCTAGCAGGGTCCAGCTTGCTTCCCTGGAGGCCTCTGCCTCAGTCCGTGTTCAATTCTGCCTGCAGGACTGGACCTACCGGGACATCTGGGAGTTCCTGCGCAAGCTCTTTGTTCCCTACTGCATTCTCTATGACAAGGGGTAAGTACCCAGTGCTGCCTTCTTTGTGGGCATAGCTAATGCCCCCAGGCACAGCCCTACGGCCGCCTCCTCCCTCCACAGCTACACCTCCCTGGGGAGCATGGCCAACACGCGCAAGAACCCAGCGCTGCGCTGCACCGACGCCTGGGGCCGGGAGAGCTACCGGCCTGCCTACGAGCTGGAGAACGAGGAAGAGGAGCGCACGTCCCGGCTGTGAAGGCCATGCTCTGGGAGGCTCCTCTGGAAAGCTGCCGGGAATGACACTGAATAAACCTGCTGCCTGTCAGCACTGAATAAACCTGCTGTGGTCTGCGCTGCGCTGGCGCGTGGCCTCGTTGGGCCCCATTAGGGCAGTGGCAGGAGTGGGAGGAACAAAAGGGTCCCCAGGCCGTGCCCCCCTCGCTGTACCTGCTGTTGTGGAGGTTTTGGAAGCATGGAGAATGTAGCAGGTTCCAGGGCTTGCCAGGGCCCTGTGTATCTGCACTGCTGCCTCTCCCGCTCACATCAGATCCAGCTGATCCCTCATCAGCCATGCAGCTCCTCTGGACCACGGCAGCCCATCCACTGGGCGCTCTGCGGGCACGGCCACGGGCACTGGCACTGCCGGCGCCCGCCACCACCTCCCTGGGGCTGCGCCTGGGCTCCTGGCTGCTGCGGCTGCTGCGGGAGTGCGTCTACCTCCTTCTCTGCAGCTGGTGCGTCCGTGAGCTGCTGGACTAGGGAATGCCTCCTCCCCCCTACTTCAGTACTGCAGGACCTCCAGCACTCCCTGCCCGCCCTGCCTCTGTGGGTGAGTGACCGCCTGCAGCTGCCCACTTGATGTGGCGTTTGGGGTGTGACAGTGGCCTAGTCGTGGTGCCTGGTGGGTGATGGAGCCCAGCCATGGTGCTCTTGGGGGCGAAAAGGTCCTGGTCATGGTGCTTGGGGGGCTAGAGGGGGCCTGGCTGTGGTGCTTCTGGGGACTGAGGGGGCGCAGCCTTGATGCTGATCAGTGGGTCCTCACCTGCTGTGCCTCTCTGCCCTCCCCAGGACTGTGCTTGTCGCCATGTGTTGATGGAGCTGACGGACCCCCGGCGCTGGGACGCTGCACTCCCCACAGTCATAGACCCCCAGTAAACCTGAGCAGCGCCTGACTGGCTGCATCTGTTTGGAGAGAGCTCTGGGAGAGAGCGTGTGTGTGTGTGTGTGTGTGTGTGTGTGTGTGTGTGTGTGTGTGTGTGTGTGTGCGTGCGCGCGTGTGCGTCCTCAAACCTTCCAACCCTCGCTCTGAGTAGCACCAAGGCACCCCAGCCCACCCCTCACCCCTGCCCAGGGCTGAAGGTCCCCACGTCCCCTGGGGCCAGGAGGCAGGAGTGGGAAGCTGGGGCTCTCCAGTATCTCCCGCTTCCCCTCTCCGTCCTCTCCAGCCATTTCATGTCCCAGTCCTGTGCTGCCAAGAGTCTGCAGGAAGCAGCAGGAGCAAAGTGTCTCCAATGGGCCCAGCCTGGCTGGGAGCTGCATCAAAGGTCATGGCTGGTGGCACTGGGGCCTGGCTGTGGGGGTGGCTGTGGGTCCCTGAGCCCATTCTGCCCAATGCTCCTTGTGCTGGTGCCTGCACAGGGAAGGCTCTGCACACCCCGTCCTCGTCCTCAGCGGCAGCACTGGCGCCAGTGTGGCCTCCCTTATCTCAGCGGGAAGTCAGGAGCAGGAAGCCTGGCCCAGCATGGGATAAGGGTCCCGTTTACATTAGCTCTTCTGTTGTGGAGCAGGCTCCCACCCTCACCCAGCGCCCACAGTGGGGGGCCCTGGTCGGGCCGAGGGCTATGGGAAGGCAGGGACCCCTACCCAAGGTGCCACAAGGGGCTTAGGCGGTCCTTACAACCCCCATGTGGACATGAGTGGGAACAGGGTCTGCAAGGATGGTGCCCTGCTGCTGTGCCACATGACTTCCCCCTGCCCAGATCAGCTCCTCCAGCCGGACCCTGCCCCATGGGTGTGAACTGGTGTGGTCTGTGCTGCTGTCTGGGCTCCTAGCTGTGCCCAGCTGCCTTGGTAGCTCTGTGCTGGGCATCCCTGACCACTGGAGCCCACACGTCTGGTGCCTGCCCTGTCCTGGTGTGGTGGCCCTGGCCGTGGTTCAGCCTCGGAGCTGGCCGGGAGGGGGCGAATCAATGAATTCCCCAAACAGGGAGGTCCGGGGGAGGGGAGAGCATCCCGGCACAGGAAAAAGTGCGGGCAGTGACGCACGGCTGTCAGAGCAGTGCCGGCCGCCCTGAGAGCACAGCCCTATGCGCCGCCCCGGAGCCTCGCGCCCTCCTGCGCCACCCACCGTGAGTGAGACCCCTTTCCCCAGGGACCCCTTACCCAGCCCCATGGTGGGGCCACAGGGGAGTGGGCGGGTGCTGTGGGCAGGGGCACGTGGACCGTCAGCACAGGCAGATTCCCCAGCAGTGAGGGGTTGGTTTTGGAGTCATGTCTGATATGATCTCCGGGATGCCAGTACCCCTCGAAGTGGCACCGTGCCCTCGCGGTGGGGACGGCAGCAATGTGGGGCACAGGCAGCGGCAAATCCAGGCAAAGCAGCCTCGTGAGAGGACACAGGAGGATGCAGCAGGTCCCCACCAGGACCCCCTGCAGCCACAGCGCTCTTGCGGGAGGTGACGGAGGTGACGCCTGTCCCTGTCCTGCAGGTGGTCCCCACTGCCGCCCCATGTTCCGCTCACGCCGCACGGGGCTCGTGCGGCGGCTGTGGCGGCAGCGCTGTGCAACAGCGGGCCCCGAGGACGGCCCCAGCACCCTCAAACCAGCAGCTCATGCCCTCTTCAAGAAGCTGAAGGATGAGGATCTGGAGCTGCTGGTGCTGGCAGTGGAGAGCCGGGGCGCTTGGGAGTCCAGCTGTGTTTGGGCACCACGGGGGGATGCGCGAGGGGCCAAGCAGGGGCTCCCCCCTCAAGTCCTGCTCTGCCGCCTCTTCCGCTGGCCCGACGTTCACCAGCCCCATGAGCTCAAGCACCTCTGCTACTGTGCTGGGCACCGGGGGGTCTGCGGGGACTTGGCTGCACTCTGCTGCAACCCCCACCACTTCAGCCGCCTGGCTGTACCTGGTGAGTGCTGGTGGCAACACCAGAGGTCCCCTTGCCCACGCAGGCTCTCAACTCTGCTCCCTGGGGCCCTCTTTGGGCTCCAGGGGCCTCTGAGAGGGGTAGAATGCATGCCTAGCCCCTCACTTCCTTCTCTCCCTTCCACAGAGACCCCACCACCCTCCTACTCGAAGGCATCCTGTGGTCCCTCCTGGCCAGACGAGCCCCAGCACCCTGGCACTCAGCTCCTAGAGTTCAGCTGCAAAGGTGGGGACTGGCACGGTAAGAGAGTCCCACCACACTGTGTATGCCACACCCAGAGGGCAGGAGGGCACTGGGCAAGGCTGAACCCCTGGGTCAGGAGCCGAGATTGGAGGGGACAGAACCTGAAAAGTAGGGAACAGAGCCAGCAGCCACTCCTAGCAGGAGGAAAAGGCTCCAGCATGGGATGAGGGGTTCCTGCTGGAGGAGCAGCCTGGGCTCGGCCCCCCCACTGCAGCTCCTGTTATTTTTGGCAGCGCCAGGCTCCTCGCCGGAGGAAGCACTGCCTATGGGGACACAAACAATGTGCCTTGACGCACATGGCCACAGCTCCTGCCTGGCTGCTGGCCACCAAGGCTGCCAAGCCGCCACCACACACACGCTCTACCCCTGCCCGCCCCACCCGTCACCAGGGTCCCTGGGGACCAGGAGCAGCTCCAGTGACTCACACTCAGTGCCAGAGCCGGTGCTGAGGCATCCTCGGGGTGCCAGTACACCCTTCTGTCCGCAGACCCCCCTGTGCCCACTCCCCTCAGCCCATCCAACTGCATGGCTCAGTCACGATGATGGCTCTGCTCTCCCCTGCCAGACACCAGCCTCTCACAGAGCACCATCAAGGATGGCTGCTGGTGCAAACTGGCTTACTGGGAGCACCGGACACGTGTGGGCCGCCTCTACGCCGTGCACGAAGCATCAGTGAATGTCTTCTGTGAGCTGCCATGGGGCAGCGGGTTCTGTCTGGCCCAGCTGCCGGCTGCCCACCGCAGCCGTGCTGTCCGGCGGGCACGTGGCAAGATCGGCCGGGGGCTGCTGCTGAGCCGGGAGCCAGGCGGCATCTGGGCCTACAATCGCAGCAAGCACCCCATCTTCGTCAGCTCGCCCACCTTGAGCCCCCCCGGGGCCCGCAGGCTCACTGTCCTCAAGGTGCTGCCTGGCTACTCGGCAAAGGTGTTTGACTATGAGCAGGTGGGGGGCAAAGGGGGCTGGCGGCTCCCCGGGGAGGGGCCCTCCGACCCCCACAGCATCCGCATCAGCTTTGCCAAGGGCTGGGGACCCTGCTACTCCCGGCAGTTCATCACCTCGTGCCCGTGCTGGCTCGAGGTCCTGCTGAACCAGCTGTGCTAAGGGGCTGGGGCCTGTGGGGGGATGTCAGGGAGCTCGCCCAGAGCAGGTGCACAAGCCAGGGGGCCCCTCCACCACTCTCCAGCCTTTGTCTTCCAGGGCTGTGCTGTAGCAGGACTGTCCTGACTCTGGGGACCCTCTGCCCTAGCCCTGAGGGGCAGTGCCCCCTGTGCCTGGCTCACCACCCTGCCAGCACCTGCTGCCCCCAACCATGGGGCTCTCAGTGACACGAGGAGCTATTTAACGTATTCTTTTAATTTTATTACTTTAATAGTTAAATATATATTAATTTATCTATTTTTGCAAAACAAACCAAGGTGTGAGGCAGGAGTCCCCGCAGGCCAGGCCAGGCCTTGGGAGGTGGCAGCCAGGGCAGAATGGGCTGGGGGGAGCAGGAGAGAAGGGAGGTGGGACAGAGTGGGGGGCAGGAGGTGGGCTGTGGGCCTGCCTGGATGTCACAGCAAGCGAGGGGAAAGAAAATGAACTGTCACTGCTGGGGTGGAGTGGGGCCATGAGTACAGCTGGGATATGGGGCAGGTGGATGGGTGTGGGGCAAGTTAGCACAGCTGGAGAGTGGGGCAGGTTAGAACAGCTGGATGAGTGTGGGGCAGGTGCTGGGGCAGGTGAGCACAGCTGGAGCGAATGGGGGGGCAGGTCAGCACCCCTGGGGTGGAGGTCGGTGCAAAGTCTCCCAAGGTGGGGTTGCCAGGCCCCGGGCGGTCCTTCAGCCGTGGCAGCGCAGGGACGCCCCGGGCGAGTGCAGCTGCGGGGGTCCCCGATTTCCCATGCCGCGTCTGCTGTTTTTAACCCCAATAAACGGTGCCGCCGGCACCAAGAGACCCCTCATGTCCCCACGCGTGTCGGTGCCGCCCACGGGGCTCGGCTCCGGGGACTAGCAGTGCCCTCTGCAGGCGGCCGCCGTGGGCCGCGATGACCACCCGGTCCTTCCTGCCACGCCGCCGGCCCGGCTGAGACCGCGGCCCCCGCCCGGCCCCGGCCCCGGCCCCGCCGCGAGAGGTGAGTGCGGCCGCGCCGTCGGGGGGAGCGGCACCGGGGGCGTCGCCGCCGGCCCCGGCAGAGCGAAGCGGCCACGGCGAGCGGCGGCCCGGGGGGGCGGGCGGGGAGCGGCGAGGCGGGGGTGGTGGTTCTGCGGGTCGCCCCCGCCGCCCCCGCGGAAGCCCCGAGTCCGGCGGGCCGGTGCCCGCGGCAGGGATGCAGGTGCACGGACGGACGGAGCTGGGGGGACCGAAAAGGGTCGGCGGCCGGGCGAGGCGCGGCGGCAGGTCCCCGATACCGGGGCCCGGCGGGAGGGTGCGTGGGGGTCCTGCTCCCGCCGTCGCCGCCCCCCCGCCCGCTGACATAACGTCTGCGCGGGGCCGTGTTTGCCTTGGCAGCCCCGGGGCCGGCGGCGGCTCCTCACACTTTCCGCCAGCGCCGGGCAGCGGCCGCGCTCCGAGCCAGGCGCGGGGGGGGCCGGGGTGAGCCGAGGTGAGCCCCGGGGCCGCCGCTGCCTCCCGGGGCCGGCAGCGGCCAAACAGGTTGCGTGGGGCCCGCGCCCAGGCACCTGCGGAGGGGCCGCCCCGGGGGGGAGCTTGAGGGGGGCCGCCCTCGCTCCAGCGCCGCCGGGAACGCTGGGCTGCCCCCCGCGCCGGCGGCTGTCCGGATCCCCCCGGCGCCACGTTCTCTGTGTCCAGCTCTCCATCCCCCCGTGCCCGGCATTCCAACCCTCCCAGCGCTCGCTGCTCGGTGCCCGGTTCCCCAAGCCCGGCTCTCCACCCCTCTACCTCCCCGCCACGCTCAGTTTCCCAGTACCCTAAACTCCCCCTCCGGTGCACACTTCTCAGCTCTCACCCCCCACCCCATGCCCGCTTCCCCGCCCCCCCTGTGCCCACGGGGCGGAGCGGGCCGGGCCGTGCCGTGCTGGCCCCGGGACTCGGGGCGGCCGCAGCGGGCGGAGCGCGCTCGGCGCCGGCGGGGCCGTCCCGGGCTGTTCCCCCCCACTCCAGGTCCGGGGCCGAGCCCCGTTCCCGGCTCTGACTCAGCTCCCCCCAGGTCCCGGGGGGCGCGCGCGGCCCCCGCCCTCACGGGGCGAGGCGCGGGGCTGATTGACGGGGCGCTCCACCAATCGGACGCGCGAGCGCCGGCGCGCTGCCCAATGGGCGAGCGGGGGCGGGCGCTTCCTGGAGCCCCGGCGGCGGCGGCGGCGGCGGCGGTCCGGGGGGGGGGGAGCGGGCGGGGCGCGGCGGCGGCAGGTGAAGGCGGAGGCGGGGCCGCGGCCCCAGGAGCGGCCCGTGGCTCGGGCGGGGCGCGCAGGTGAGTGGCGGTCGGGTGGGGAGCGGACAGACCCACCGGCGGGGGTTTGCGCGGAGGTATCGACCCACTGGCAGCGGGACCGGGAGCGGCGCGGCGACCGCTTTTTGCCGCCCGGTTGCGGTGAGTCGCGTGGATCCGGGATGCTGCGGGCGGTGGGCGGGCACGGCCGGCTCGCGGGGCACCTCGCGGTCTCCCCTCCGTCTCCACCCGCCGCCGGAGCTGGAGGACACGTCGCCCGTGGGGCGGGGGGGGAAGGGGTGTCACTCGTGGGCTGTTCCCGGTGGCTGCGCACAGGGCTGCGGGAAATCGGTGATACCGGCAGGTCCCCGTTGCGTGTCGGGGCGGCTGCCAAGGCTCCGCTGGGGTCCTATTGCGGTGCTGCTAAATCCAGCCAGGGTCCCCCGTGGGTCACCCACGGGTGACTGAGAGCTGCCGCCGTCCCACTGCCCTTCCCAACCTGGTGAGCAGCTTGGCGGCGTCCCTAGTGTACCGGGCAGGAACGGCACCGTCGCACGGGGAAGGCAGCTCAGGGAACCCCCAGTGCGGCGGTGCCAGTAGAGTCGGAGGGTGTCCCCGTGTACCGACACGCTGTGCCACGCCGGTGACCCCCGGGCCTGCACGCTGGCAGCGGCGGCTCACTGCTCGGCTGTGCAGCGGTCCCCACCGGGATCGGTGCCTTGGTAGCACCTGCCGAACACCGCTGGACTCTGCCCCGTGCGCCCAGCCCTGCCGTACCTGTCCTCGTCCCCCTGGCTGGCTGCCCCCAGCCACTGTTTGCCCGGGGCGGGGTGCGGTATTTACCCTCCCGCCGGAGCAGATCCCCGTCTTGGGCTGCAGCCGCCCTTGACCCGTGGCTGTGCTCACTTGGCGAGGGGACGCAGTGCCGGCTGTGCCGTGGGGTGAGTTGCCCCGTGCCTCAGTTTCCAGCCGCCGCTGCTGGTGGGAGCGGGGGGCGCGCTGGGACCCCCCGCGCTGGCGGAGGCACGCGGCGACTGCGGCGACTCAAGGCTGCGGTGATGATGCCGGTGCCGGGGACAGAGGGAGGGACTGAGCTCAGGAACTTGGAGCGGGTGCTTGGAGAAGGGGAAACTCTGGGGCAGCGCAGTGTGGGGCAACAGGGCTGGGAGTGCCCGTGCTGGGGACGGGGGGTGCAGAGGTGAGCGCGGGAAGGTGACAGGTGTGGGGCGACACACACACATCGATGTTTGGTCCTGAGGACCCTCCAAGACCCCCTCCCCGGGCGCAGGTTGCCCCCAGCGCTGCAGTGCTGATCCTGGGGCAACTGTGGCAGCGTGGCTTTGCCAGCTGGTGCCGTGCACCCTCAGTGCACACGTGGCACGAGCGCGACAGGCCTGAGCACGCGGGGGCGGGGAGTGGGCGGCAGCGGGGGGTGCAGGGCCAGCGCAGCCCCCGCTGCACCCCCAGCCCCCAAGGGGCGTCTGCTGTCCCGTGCGTGGAGCGGGGACTTCTCCTTCGGGGCAGGCGGTGGATGATGAAACCAGGGAGAAATTTCTCCTGGCAGCGCACAGACTGTTGGCGGAAGCCCCCGGGAGCCTGCGCTCCCCCTGCGCCACCACAGCCGCCTTCCCATGGTAACTCCACCGCGGGAGCCGGCGGGGTGCCGGCGGGAGCGGCCGCCCCGTCTGGAGGGTTGGCGCCCGCCTGGCTCCCCGTGGCAGCGCTGGCGTCCCCGACATGCCCCGGGAGCTGCGTGTCCACACCCCAGCAAGCCCTGGGGTGGCCAGAGGACCCGGCGAGGGGCTGGGCTGACGCCCGTCAAACTCGCTTTGTGCCAGGAAGGTGACGCTTGGGTGGCCGTGCACGTAGTGGGGGGATGCCAGGGCTGTGGCCAGTGACCTTCAGCATGCCTGGTGCCTGGCCATGCTCCATGCCCAGGGATGGGCGGCCAGTTGGCATGCACACTGGTGCAGTGGGAGCCACAGGGCCTGGGTGCCCTGTGTCCCCAGAGCTGGTGGCGTGACTTGGCGGGGCCACGGCCGGGCGGGGGGGACCAGCCAGGGTGAGGGAAAATGAAAGCAGGTGATGCGGAAGGAGAAGTAGGTCAGGCGAGCTCTGGCCTCTCCTGGCAGCCTCGGCTGCACTGCGTGCTCCACTCTGCCTGGCTGTTCCTGCCGTGTCCCCAGGCCCCATGGGCAGTGGCCGGAGTGGGCGGTGAGTAAGGGGGTCCTGCTGCCAGGCATTGGGTCCTGGGCAGGCTGGGTGCCAGGCACTGTCCACCCCAGATGCTGGCGGGATGGGGAGCGTGGCTGGGCTGCCTGGCATGTGTTGGGTATGGTGGCACCCCAGCAATTTTGCTTTGGTTCTTCTCCTGTGGGCATCCTTGGGGGCACAGAGCTGGGGGTAAGGATGTGCAGGAGCTTTTGCCCCGCTGCAAGGCCAAGGAGGAAAGGAGAAGGGATTTCTGTCCCTCCTGCTTGGGTGGTGCCAAGGCAGCCACTACGGTGGGCCTTGGGGAGAGCCCTGTGTCCCATAGTGGAGCTCCACAGACGTTGTCCTGGGCCCTGCTCCACTATGGAGCTGTGGGGCCATCGCCCTCCACACAGAGCAGGGCTGGCTGGGGTCTCCCCAGTGGTGCTTCATGGGTTGGAGTGGCTGTGGCGGGCATGTCCCCGCTGGCAGTGCTACATGGGCTTGGGGGGGGATTAGAGCTGCCTGCCCCCCTTCCCTCCCTGGGATCAGCCGTGGGCAGCGGGGAGCTGGCAGCAGGCAGCTGCCGTGGGGGCGGAAGCCAGGCTATTTTGGGGGGTATGAAGGGGGGGGGGCTGTGGGCTGGCACTGTCCTTGCCGAGTGACCCCACCAAGACCAGCACAGCGCCAGTGCCAGGATGAAGCGTTGGGGCCTGGACGGCGCCGCTGGCAATGCTCAGTCTCTGAGGTGCTGTGAGGACACATACCTTGCACTGACTAGGAGGTGCCACCAGCCAAGGGGACCCCCTGGGGCTGTGCAGTGTGGTGGGACCCAGGCAGTCTGGCTGCTCTCCAAGGGGTTCCCATAACTCCTGCAGGGCCAGCAGCTCCAGAGCTGGCTCACCCTGGGGCCAGCGAGCAGGCCCAGCCACAGGCAAGCCTGCCTATCCCAGGCTGGGGGCTGGCAGAGCCTCGTCCTGCTGCCACCAGTAACCCTGTGCCCAGACCGGGCTGCAGGGAGGCACATGAGCAACCGAGTTTGGCTCCATCTCAGTAGGGTCCTGGCCAGGCTGGGCTGTGCAGGATGCCCAGTTCCTCCATGCTTCTCTTGGTGCTGGCAGGGGTGGCCTGGGCACTGGCTAGGCTTGGGACCCCTCTGAGAGCCACTCGCTTTGACTGCAGTCCTGTCCCCCTGGCTATCAGGTGAAATGTGCCCATTTTCCATCCTTCCATCCTTCCATCCTTCCTTCCTTCCTTCCTTCCTTCCTTCCTTCCTTCCTTCCTTCCTTCCTTCCTTCCTTCCTTCCTTCCTTCCCCCTGCCTGTTCCTGCCATCTCCCTGAGCAGGGAGCAGCCAGGGACAACCCATGTCCAGCTTCG